GCACGCACACGCACTGACAACTCGTTAACTGAGTGGAAGCTCGTTACTTGAGCTGCTCGTCACCCGAAGTTCCACCATACAGCCAACGCTTTAGCCAGCTAAGCTACGGACCCCTCACCGGGAGTCGTGAGTTTAATTATTCTTGGGTCAATTTACTCGTCCGTGCAAAGTATGGAATCAGCTAATTCTGATACATCAAGCTGAATGTCCCAGGAGGGTTTCCTAAGTAATCAACCTAGAATCTACCAGCCAGACTTTATTAGAAAGAGGTTTAGGCAGATTTGAATTATCCATCAATAAGCTTGGTAAGCATCTAGAAAATATTAGATTGACAGCTTGGGCAGTCACCTTACTGCATCGGAATTGGTGAATTCAATACTATGAAGTAGTTTGGAAGGGTAAATTGACCCAAGTGTAATTGCACTCACGGCTCCGGTGGAGACCTTGTAGCTTAGATGGCTGTATGAAAGCCTTTCCCTTACTGGTGTAGATTCGAATGCCACCGAGACCGCTGAGTTTTTACAACTGGGTCAAATGAATTATTGAAATCTACCAAAAGCCCTTATTTGTACAAATATTATCCACAGCGTGATTCGGTAATGAAAAACACTACAAAAGCGGATTACTGACGTCTATTTTCCTTGTATAAGCTGGTACGCAGTCAACAAGAAACTAATTATTAAAAGGAAATTCAAGTCTCATGATAAGCACGTGGTTTAAAAATTAATCTAGGCAAGATGATATGACAAACTTGAAAGCATGATTTATTGTACTAATAAATAAGCTTTGAGAAAGTCTTTGTCCTGTGTGGCAGTCCGCGGATGGTGTGAAAGGCCACCACCATGAGTACAAGTAAACTTGCACTGAAGAGTGACGACATAGCAACCTTAGATAACTAGTACTCAAGTAGCAAGAAAGATACACCGCTAGCAAGACAAAAAAAATGCGACAGGACCTAAAGGTGTCAGCTTGAGAACACTCGCGTATGTTGGATGCGGAGAAAGCTCCTCAATTGTTTTGATGAAAAATCGCGTGAACGAGTGTTATAAAATAGGCTATCGTGTACAACTCGTGGTTTCACTTATTCGTTAAACAGGAGGCAGTCAATCTTTAATCATTGGTAAAAGTTTGCACACACCGTTTGACAAGAATCCGCACTGGGTCGGTCATAAACTTTGAAGTTAGTTCCAGTATTTCGTGCGGCATGGTCGCCGACAAAAGGACGACCTGAGTACCCGGAGGAAGGTAACGGTAAACGTCATAAATCTGCTCTTTGAAGCCCTTGTCCAGCATTTCGTCAGCTTCATCGAGAATAAGAAGCTTTATGGTTCTTGTGCGAAGGTTCCGTCGCTTTATCATATCTGAACATAAAAGGCGATATTTCAAAAGACCACTCATCGAGTAAGGAAAGTGTTCAGCAGAAAACTATAAATGTCTCAGTCGGGATCGGAAATAGCTGCAAAG